TGTGTGCATTATCTTTACCAGGATTGGTAATAGGATAATTTTGGCCTAATAAAATGAGTTAAAAAATATTGACTCTTCTTCAAATTTATGGAAAAGTTAGAGAAGCATTGCTATTAAATTTTCTTTGAATGTTTGGAAGAATCCACTGGTGAAGCCATCTGGTCCTGAACTTTTACTTTTTGGGAGATTTTTGATGACTGTTTCAATTTCCATACTGTCGATCAGTCTGTTTAGATTTTCCAATTCTTTATGTTTCAGTCTAAGAAGGTTGTATATTTCTAAACAGTTGTCCATTTCTATAGGTAAGTCAATTTGGTCATATAATTTTTCATAGTATTCTTATATGAAAATTTGTATTTTGGTGGTACCTGTCGTAACTTCTCTTTCATCCCTGATTTTGTTTGTTTGTGTCCTTTCTCTTTTTTCTTTAGTGAGTCTAGCCAGGGGTTCATCAATTTTATTGATCTACTCAAAGAGTCAGCTCTTTATTGAATTTTTATTGTCTTTTTGTTTTCAATTTTATTTAATTCTACTCTAATTTTGATTATTTCCTTTCTTCTGCCGACTTCGAGCTTCGTTTGTTCTTTATCTAGTTTTTAAAGATATAATGTTAGGTTTTTTATTTGTGCTTGTTTTTGTTTCTTGACATAGGCCTGTAATGATATGAACTTTCCTGTTATTACGGTTTTTGCAGTGTCCCAAATGTTTGGTTACATTATACTTTCATACTCATTTGTTTCTATGAATCTTTTAATCTCTCCTTTTATTTCTTCTCTGACCTAGTCATTCTTCAGCAGCATGTTATTTAATCGCCATTTATTTATATTTTTTCTGCTTTCTTTTCACAATTGATTTCCAGTTTCAAGGCATTATTCTCAGAGGATATGCTTGATATGATTTCAATCTTCTTAAATTTGTTGAGGCTAATTATATGTTTCAATTTTTAGTCTATCCTTAAGAATGCTCCATGTACACCAGCAAATGTTTAAGCTGCTGTTTTAGAATGAAAGGCTCTACAAATAGTGATTATCTCCAATTAATATAATGTGTCATTTAAAGATAATCCTTTTTATCGATTTTCTTTTTGGATGATCTATCCATAGGTGACAATGCAGTATTTAGTAACCCTACTCTGTGTTTCTATCAGTTTCTCAAGTTAGTTCTGTTAGAATTTGCCTTATCTACTTTTGTGTTCTGTGATGAGAAGCATATATGTAGAGCTACAGCTAGAGTTAGAGATAGAGACAGATAAAAGTTATACCTTCTTAATGTATTGTCCCTTAGATCATTATAAAATGCCCAACTTTCTTGCTTGTTACCTTTATATATCTTGAAGTTTATTTCATCAGATATAAATATGGCTATACGGCTTTTCTCTGCATGCTATTTGCTTGGAGTATTGTTTTCCACAATATTTCTCCAAGAGATACATCTCAGCTTCAAGGAAAACTGTAGCCTCTTCAATAAATGATGCTGAGAAAACTGATAAGCCACCTGCAAAAGAATGAAACTAGACTGTTGCCTATGACCACACATCAAAATTAATTCAAAATGGGGAAGGGCCTGAATATAAGTCCTGA